AGGAAAATCCTAGTGTTCTTTGGTGGTTTTGCATATCAAAATCATTACTAGAAAGGAAATGCTAGGAAGAGCTCACAGGGTTTTTTTTTAAAAAAAAAGTAACCCAGACCATTGCCAGTTCCCACTTACCTGATGTTGACTTTGCCCTAAGGATAGGCTGAAGTTAGAGCAAAGCAGGGAGCAGTCTCCTTCATCAGCTGCTACAGTTCCCACATAAAAGATGTTTTCGATACACAAATGTCTCTGAAGGCTAAAAACTTGCACTTCAGGCAAAGGAAAAGAATATATTTGAATACACTTTAAAATCACAGCTATTACATTATAATTTAGCAAAGATATACTCAAATACTGTAGCGCAGGGGTTCTCAGCCTTTCCTTCACAACACACACCCTTTAAATACCTTTTGTGGCCATGGACCACCAAGATTTAATTCAAGACTTAAAACACTAGACTGCATCAAATGTTTATTTAGATTTTCTCACGAAAGGTCTTCAAATTTGCAGACAAGGGGAAATGAATTAATCTGTTAATGCACACACTCCTATTCGATATCTTTATTGCAATGATTCCATATGAATTTAAAATAATACCATCAACACTCTTCTTGCTCAAAGGGCCCATTTTATGGTACTTTAATGTGCTAATTCTGAATTTTATGCCAATTTTTACATTTAAATTTGATGAAAAGTTTTTACAATTCTTCTTACCTCCCTCCTTGTTTGTCTGTGTTCAGTCACCATATATTTTTGTTTACGGGTCAAGGGCCACCACTTGGAAGATGTGGTTGGGTTGAGAAATTTCTTCAAGATAAAAACTACCTAGTTAAATTGGGTCCCACCAACCATACTAACATCAAATATATTAGCGTGTATATAGCAGGCTGGGGGGAAAGGGGGGAGTTTGAGTATGAGAGGAGCATTGAGGGGAGGGGGCTGTGGGTAAAGGAGGTGCAGTTCTTGTCACGGGCCAGACCAAATGTTTCTGGGCTGGATGTTCCCCACGCCTGCTTTAAGCCTTCACGGACCCCCTGTGATGTTATCATGTCCCCCCAGTGGTCCATGGACCACAGGTTGAGAATCAGTGCTGTAGGCTATTCTGTTTGTTTAGTTTGAATAAGAGTGATGCTGAAGATGGAACATGACTCTATGCCTTAGCTGGATCCAGATTGCAGCTGAGTCATCAAAACCACTAAGAATTCATGCTGTAACCATACAAACTTCACATAGTGACCTTTAATTGGAAAATCCCTCTGCTGCTATGTCCTTCCTACACAAAATGATTTTTCCTGTTACTACTGTACAAAGCAAAGTAAGATTCAAAGGAGTTATTTTTTGAGAGGGACACGGTGGTCTGTATTATGCAATCAAAACAAACCTAAAGAAATCATACTGATTCATTAAATCATCTTTTAGATGTAAAATTTGAACTTCCTGGATTGAGTTTTATGGACAAATATTCTCATCTAAGTACACAACGGTTCTAACCAGCAAAATGTAACCACTTTGAGTATGATGGCGTCTCTTATATTGTGTGCTTTTAGTTCATACTAACCAGCCATATACATTGGATACAAGCTGTTAACTTTAATAAAAAAATAGTATAGGAATTCAGAATTGCTCAGAAGCCTTCAACGTGCTGTTGGAGCTTACAGGGGAACATTATGACAAGAGCAAGAGACTTTCTCTTCTGATATAGAGGGGTTTTAGAGCTCTTCATATAACTTGATGAGAATTTCCTGCATAATTTCAGAGTGACTACAGAAATTATTTATTCTTTGTGATCCTGATGTGACTATTTTCATGACTTAGTGCTGCCCTATCCCCTCTGTCTACGAGAGAAGAAAGCGAAGTGGGGGGTTTTGGTACCAAGAGGCACTGCAAGCAATGTGAGAAATTATCTCAAATATGAATGTGTTTTATCTGGGGCAAGGAAAAGCCAAATTGTCCCAGCAGTAGGCATGTCAGTGGAATAAAGTGCTATTCAATAACAGCTTTCTCACACAGAAACTTTCATTTTTTACCATATGACTTCTGACACTAGGTGCTAAGCAGGCATACAGCCCAAGGTCTGAGCAGTGTTTCACAGCTGTTGTAGCTGTCACCAGAGGTAGAGAAGATGATCTGGCTGTGCAATCCTTGACCTGGATAGTTCTGAGGTGCTTAACCCCCGTGGATTCGGACTACTCTGACTAAGATTGGGGACAGCTTTACTACTGGTAAACCCCAAAGGGTGAAGACGACAGAAAGATGTGAGACAGACCATAGCTGTGCAGCAGACGTGAGCTTATAGAAGTTATTAAATAATCTGGAGAATCCACAGTAGTTCTGCCAAAGTGCCTGTGCACTCTGATAACTGCAGAAGAGAGCAAACCTGATGTCCCCTTTACAGTGCTTGTGGACAACTGAAGTCCCTGAAGACGGTTTGTTATTCTATGAGATGAGCAGGGATATGTCTGAAGTCACAGTGTTGAGTGTGTGCCATTAACAGATGTTAAATATAGAAGTATTTCTAAAATCCCAGGCTTTGGTCAGCTTACTCAGGCTTCAGCGAAGTACTTGCCTTATCTGGAGAACCGCAGCTGTGACCCTGAAAATAAATACTCTTCTTTTTTTCCACAGTACCAAACAGGAATAACTCTTTTGTGAGCAGAAGGGTACTGCTCTTCTATGTAACGTAGCCTGATGATTTAAATGCCCCCCAGGAATGCAGTTGCCTCTTCAGACTCCATTTCCACCTCTCAGGAAGCTGTTTCTTTTACCATCCTGTGCTCTCATGAGAGATGAGAGACTCTCCATCCCTCCTGATGAGTGTGCCGATATGTATAAAATTTAAGAATACGTGAACAACATGTGAAAGGATATGTGTATAACAGCAAGCATAAGCGTAGACTCCAGGATGGGCGCTTAATACAGACTGAAAACTTGAGAAGCAGCTTCTGCTCCAAGGTCAACTTTTATATTTTACAATAAAAGCCCATGAGGCCTGCCCAACTTGCAGGGATTTCAGTAACACTGATACAAAACTAGTAGAAAAAATGTGGCACCTACGGATTTATGCATAAGGGAGTAAGCAGCATGTTGAGTGGGAGTTTTCAGGATAATTTCAAACCTATTCCTAAATTTCACCAAACGCATCCAAGTGCTTATCTTTTCCTAGGTTCAGTTTGCCCCGAGACAAGCAGCACTTGGATGTGAACTAATGCTGAAATACAATCTATAATGAGCTTGGGATTCAGATCCGGCATGCAGCAATCTGAAAATGTATATCCTGAGTTTCTTACAGTCCCAAGATTGTGTTGCTAAATAAAAATAGCTTCAAACAATTATATCTTTTAATCAACAGCCTAGACATGTACTAATAAAATCATATCGACAATTAATTTTCATTTTGGAGTATTCAGACAGGGAAATAAACACTGTTGTAATGAAATCGACCAACCACCAAAAGCCAGACTCTTCTACACTGCTCTTCTCTGCACTGGTGGGAATCTGCTTCCCAGACTTCAGAGGCAGAATTAACATTTGCAGTGGAGTAACTCAAAGCAGAATCCAAGCTTTGTTATTAGGCACTCTGAGCATATAAATAAACACAGTATGCAGCTGCTGTGATTTTTCTTTGTAAAAGCCAGCTTTATTTGCAAATAAGGTCAATACTAATTTACCTCTCATTTTGTCTTGGGATTTCTAAAAATATGGGATGATAAATGCTAACTCAGGTAATGGTATTAATTCAAAATCTTAAATATAGAGCTCAAAAAGAGAAGTGCTCACATGAAATAGCTTATGTTAGCCTTTAAATGAGACAGATTGTTCATCACACTGTTTCCTGTGTCCTACATTCAAAGGACATTTACAGATTTTCACTATGAATAAGAAAAAGAGAGGGGAAGTAAAGTCTCCAAAAGGGAGCACAACTGCATTTCTTTTCTAACATGTATCACAAAATCATATCTGTTTTACTTGCACAGTAGAAGTCTACACTACTGAGACAATAAAACAGAAAAATAAAATCATAACAAATGGAAAGCCCAGCCCTTTAGCACACCTAAAAGGCCAGACTATCACCTGGAAACTGAAGGCAAGGCTGGACTCAGTGATATAGGATATTCCTTTCAGTAATGTCTCTGGGTGGGATTCATATAGCAGATTTAGATATAAGGATTTAGAGGTTCATAAATATGGATCTGCTTGTGAACTAGGTGTCTAAACTCCAATTACAGTCAATAGGGATCTAGGATGGGATCTAGGATGTCCCTATGTAGGCTTTAATACAATTTGAAATGCTCTCAGGTATCCTGCACATGTCTCCCATGGATCATATGCCACCTCTGCCAGGCCCACATAGGTGTTTCTCATACCCTAGAGAATCTGAACCTAGACACCAGACACCTATGTACAATGCTATAGAAATAGTTCATACACATCTTTGTATGAACTATAGAAATACAATGTGGCATAAATAGCCAAGGCTTGGGGTACAATGATGAATACATTGTGAACCTCTGCCTTATCATCTCCCCACTTTTGGCACGACTGTGCTTGAACATTCAAACAAAAAGAGAAGACACAGCAAACTTTCAGCTTTATGTAGCACACCAGTTTTGGCAACTCTTTTTTCACTAACAAGGTCACAAATATAAACCATCCAAACGGCACTTGTGACAAGCCACTTTTTTTCTCTGTATGCGTACATGTGAAAGGAAAATTACCTAATAATTTCAGGTTTTATTATCCCTCAGGATTACTTCACAATACATATTTTTCCACATTTCTATTGTACCATTAATCATTATCCTGTGCCTTCTGCAGAACCTTCTTTTTTCCTCCCACAAAAGCTGCCAGTCCCCTGCTCTCCAAGGGTCACAGGTTGCAGAGGAATCCACAGAAACAGGAAACCAGGCTTCCTCAGTCAGTTTTGAAACACCAAAACCTGTTTCCTTTCTACAAAAATAAAGCCTGTCAGAGCATCCTCTGGGTAGGCTCACTATATGAGCAGCAGCTCAGGAGGAGGGAGAAGCTACAGGATTTCTTGCTTGGGAGATAAATGTGAGATAACTTGTAGCATTTGCAAACCAGCAGAATGAAGGAGACAATCTTATTACTGCTCCTATTGCACTTACAGAGTGGCAGCAGTGGATTTAATACTCCAGAAAAACTCTGGACCACAGGCCAGGGTGGTGAAACCTGGACAAGTCACTCAGACTTGATTCCAACTCTGACTTCAATTGTGGGGTCACCCCATTCTGAGATCCAAGCTGATGAAGCAAGTTCTTCACAGGGAGGATCTTCAGTCAAGACTCTGGGAATGAAAGCAGTGAAGAAAACCTCCAATTCTGCAATCTCTACCCCTGAAAGCCAGTCAAATGAACAGAGTGATGGTAACTCTGGCAAAGATAAGATGGGAAGCTCATCTACCAGCAAAAGGACGTCTCTACAAAGCAGAGGGGTTCCTCTCCAGCAAGAGGTCATTACAAGCCGCAATACATCTACAGGGAACGGATCTCTCAAGCAGTCATCCTATAGCACTGGTATCACCAGCACCCAGCAGGATGCCAACTCCAAAACATCCGGCTTTGAAACTACCAGGGGAAAGTAAGGAAAGTTACATATTTTTTCTTGTCTCCTATGTACTGCTTAGGAACGGTTATTTTCCTGTTTCCAGTGAAATAATTGGCAAAAGTCCTAGTAAAATAGTTTCAGTAAAATTGTTTTCTGGGCTTAAAGAAGACCATTCAAAACAAGCAAGGGACCAAACCTGCAGTATTTACTCCATCAAATCCATACATTTGTGTGCAGAGTAAATGCTGCAATATTTTATCCCTCAGGGTAGGTATCTCAAAACCAACAGGAAATTTATTATCATATATGGGTAGGAAAGGACCACAATAGATACGACCCTGTTCTATTCAGAGTAAACTTTTATTAATTTTTTTCCTTTCTTTTCTTGTGTGTGAAAGAAATTGCAAATGCACTTTTTCATTTGGAATCTATTAAAAAATGATTGTGTTTGTAAACTTCTCCACTAAATTGAAAATACTAGCAATTACGTGTACAAAATGCATCGTTGCCTGACAATTTCAAGCACCTTATTCTGCGATAAAAACTTATTAAAAGTTTTGTTGCAAGTGAATGTGCATTCAGAACTGTGTAACTTAATACATAATAGCTGTGTATAACAGAGAATATCAAATTTTATTGTCTAGTTTTATAGCTCTGGAACACTCAATTATTTTCTTTGTCCCCCAGTATCTTCTGTTCTCAAGGGGGATGTTAATACTGACTTTGGAGATGTTGTAAGGTTCACTTAATTGCTGATATATATGCAGATACTGATAGAAAATGGAAGATACAAAGGACTGGTTGTTTTCCATAGTATTTATGGAGAGTGAGCTTTCAGAATACAGATTTCTTCTTTTGGTAGTACTTGCCCAAATGTTAGCATCCAAAAGAAGGAAAAATTAAATTCAGACAAAAGAGAATAAATCACCCCTTAGAAATGCTCCTACAATTATCTTGCTGTGTGTGGCTAAGAGCTAATGTTTCTTCAACTCAAAGAAAATATTCCCAGTGACCTGAGCATGTTTTGATTCATGCATAAGTGAAATAACACAAAGACCAAAAGGAAAGGAGTCCTTTGCTTCTTCTTGGAAGACATTCTCAAGGAGGTGTGTTTCCCAGATAGCATACCCCTTCAGCTGTGAATGTCACTTCTTACAATTCCTTACTACAGTGTTTGGCAGAGTGTCTGAATTAACCTGAGTTAAATGGGCTCTCTTTACATGTGAGAGCCGATAACTTTATGTCCATTAAGTCTTAACATATGCTAACGTTAGACTCTTTAGCTTTCTCAGCTTTCTTCAAGAATAGTATTCCAGCAAAATTAATCTTCAGAAAAACTCCGAAGAGAAACTCTGATAATAGCAGATATTGTTTCTAGATTTTACATAAGGTATACATACAGAAAGCAAAAACATAGTCTCTGGTGAACAAGGTCTCGTATTTTATTTATCCTAATGGGATGTGGTTGCAACTGCAGAGAGGCAAAAGAAGAAAATCTCATATTGGCTATAACCTCATTTCATGAGTGGTTGAGGGGCAACCTGCTGTGCAACATGCATAAAGGTTTTTTAGGTTTTCTGAGTCCATGGAGCAAATCAGTGATAACGCTAGGATTGCATATCAAAGTTACAAATGTGTAACAGCATGAAACCCCAGCCCAAAACAGAATGCTGAATTCCTACTCTCATTCTCACATTGGTGGGCTTCATAGCCTCTCTCTAGCAAATGTCTACAATTCTAGGTGTGGCTCAATCCTTTTCACATTATAAGATTCTTATGTTACAAGCTTTGTCTTCCTACCACATTCAAGTGTTTTTACAATCAGCCAAGGTGTTTTGAGTTTTTCTTCCAGTTTTGCCACTGACCTGGACAGTAGCTTAAGTAAGTCACTTCACTGTTCTGTCCCCCTTTCCCTATGAATTAGACCTGGATGAATAATACAGTCACTTGTGACTCATTTTTTTCAGTCAAGTAATGAAAAAATGCCAAGTCCAGTGTGCTCAATGCTACTGATCACTGCTGTGAAACACCTGAAAGCTACTGCTGAGAAACTATACATAAAAATGCAAGCATTTTTATTTATTTTGTGCAGGTATATTCCATTCCTAGCATATGTTTTCTTTTTAGAAAAAACCTGGCATCTTCATTGCAAATGAAGTGAAAGAGGTTGTTAACAGCTTTCTTTGAGCTTTACTCATTTAATGCCTGAACACAGCATAAACGAGTCAATAGAAGATTTCGTTCAGTGATGAAATTTGGAAGCATGATTTGCTTTTTAGTTTTACTTTGAATTAAAGCAACTCTTTGGTTATAGCCTGTATTCCAATCTGAATTTTTGAGTAACCTTGCAGGAACTGAAAGACTGTGTAATCCTTTATGGCAACCCATTGTGCTAACATATGCACAGAGATGCTGATGTTAAGAGGCTCAGGGAAGGAACAATAGAGAGAGGTCAGTGAGACACAAGAGGAAGGAAAACAAAACAAGAATGAGCATTTGTTTTTTAATATAATAATAATAATTTTAAAAATAGCAATACCTATGCTTTGTTGGAGTCTCCAAGGACTGTCAGATTACCCACCAGGTATGATACGTGCCTATTGTACAAACTTAATTACCCAAATACCTCTTTCTGAAGAAGGTCATGTGTCTTACTGTCTTAATTACAAAGATAATTCCTGGCTATATCTACCCTAGATTATCTGAGGACAATATTATATACACATATTGCATGCATACTACTACTAGATCAGAAAAAAGTACTTCTGGTTCATACTATTTTGTCAAAATTCCTGTTAAAATGTCAGAAGAGTATGATTTGGAAATATAGAGCATGATTTGGAAATATTTCATGGATTTTTGAAGTCTGCACCTGAAGAATATTTCTGACAACCACCAAGTGTGGCAAGGAGGACACACCCAGATATGGCAGCTAGCATCACGCCAGAGCCAAAATCTCCACATGCAGCTGTGGGGATGCTGCACTGCCAAGATAAAGCTGGGAAGGTAAATCAGTGAGTCAGGATCAGGCCTGGTGATGGTGACCAGGGTAAGACACAGCCCAGTGATCTGGGGCTGGTCAGTGATGGGGCAAGGTCAAGGATAGGCCAGGATGTCAGCTTGCAGGTCAGGACTGGCACAAGAGCAATGTAGCCCTGGGGTGAAATTTAGTGGGAGTCCTGAGCCCATAGGCAGGGTGTATGGGTGGAGAACCCAGGTCAGGCTGCTCAGGATGAATAAGGCCCACAAGTGCCATCAGGGTCCTGACAAGATTCCATTACATTTTATTGAAAGAAATGCACTATTTAAACTGTCAGAATATTTTTTTTTCCAACTGAAATAGAACCATATTTGCCAAAGACCATAACTTGGTTTTAAAAACTCATCTCAGGTTTCAGCAGAACTTCTAGGGGCAGAGATGTACTGCAACGGTCAATCACCTGGTGAGGAGTACAGTCAGTAGGGCTAAAGACTCCAGATTCAAGATTCTGCTGTTAATAAGGCAAAGGTTGGCTTTGAGCCTTTCTATATCACATTATGATGTGTTATTTTAAATGTTAAATATTGGGCATATCTTTTTATCTAAACCCACTAAACTCTTCCTTATTCTTCACTGGAATGAAAATGTAAAGAAATCCTGTTCTTTTACAGTGAAGTGGAACAATTTTATAGTTAACCTTAGAATAGGTACAGGAGGACATAGGTACCTATGTACCTATGTTATATATATGCACTTGTAGGTACCTGCCCTCAAACCATTTCAGAAGAGTGGTTTCTCTGGTGAGGTATAGCCATTCTGGGAGGGTCTGAAGCCAAATTTTTCAGAAGTATAAGGAAACTTCACAGGAAGAACATCTGGAATGGACTGAGCTAAAGGGATATGCCTTTCTTCACTCCTAGTAATGAATTTGACTTAAGCTCTGAAATGTAAGGCTTATGTCTCTACAGACAAATATGTATCTTTTTTTCATTTCTACCTATCTTCAAATTTTCAAGCTATCCATATCAACGAATAAAGAAATGCTGGAAAACCATAGCTGTGCTTCAGCAGCAGAGAGAGAGTTTTTTCCAAAATTCGGTGACATTAAATGTAAACACCAATTTGGTGTCACAGATGAAAATTGACGATACACTCTTTTCTATTGAGTTCATGTGAGATACATCTTTTTTTAGCCTGTGGAAAGAGACAACTGCAGTATTTCTCTGTACAAAGCAGCTTAAATAACAGTGGTGCTATGGAGCAAGTCTGAGACAGAGTCCTGAGAATAGCACACTCGTCCTTCCATTCTGAACTCAGTTTTATTAATTACTATTCAAGGCAGCTCCTGAATATATGAGACATTCGTTCAGGCTGTAAATTAAACACACTATCTCTACATTGTTGGATGACTCGACAATACTCTTTTCTCTCAGTATGTGTATATTACACATTTTCCAATTATCATGAATCCACTGAGGGTCTTCGTAGACTTCCCCTGTCATTACCTTGGGTAGTGGTGAGGTGACAGTATTTTATTACTAAGCACAGAAGGGTTTAATAAAGTCAGCACCAGGGACAGATTTGCTTAGGTGTCACATGTGGTATGAGTGCTGAAATATTTCATTCTCATGATCTTTCTAGTGTACTGACAAATTAAAATGAATAGTTAATCTCAGCAGATGGTTCAAATACACAAGACACATAGAAACCTCATTTAATGGCCTAGTTAATGCAAGGTTCAGTCTCTTTTGATCATGTCACTTTTTAATGTAGTAAACAATTCTTGAATTGATTTCTTAAGATTTTGCATCACTGTGCACTTACAATAAATAAAGACACGCATGGCTTAGGTTTCTGCCTCACTAGGTATATTCACTATGACTTGGAAGGAGGAACCTCTTACACTTGTACTTAGGTTGCTTTGGTGGCTAAGTGTCAGAGGATGTTTGACAGGCAAGTGCTTGTTTTGACCTCACAATGTTGTATTCCAGTCATGCTGAAGACCTTTGCAATGAATCCCTCTTGTCAGTTAACATCTTGAATGTAATTCTGA